AATTTTTTTAGGGAAAATGACCCTCTCTTTCTCGGAAGTTCGAAACGTCTCTTTCTTGGAAATTCTTAAAACTTCCAAAATTCATATCTCAGTGAGTTTTTCGATTTGAGACCTAATATTTTGCAGAAGTTCATTACTTGGTGGTCTGATCAAGAAAAAAATTTATCATCAAAATCCGAGTCGGGCGGTTGCATGGCTGGTAGGTTCTATATGGAATGACCCTCATGCCCTGACTTTTCCTGCCTTTTGTACAAAATTTCCACCTTTTTTTTTCTTTCTTTCTTTTTTTTTTATTAAACACGTCGAATTTCGCTGAACTTAGACATAATTTCCTTGTTTAGAGATCCAATTGTGGAAAAAAGCTTTCAGTAGGTGGTTAAAAGATAAAAAGCCTTAAAAATACCATAAACAGTAGCCAGTTATAAGATCTGTGATAAGTTTTACCTAGCTGTAGGAATTTCCAGACTTTTCCCAAGAATTACTTTTTTGCCCCAGCTTTTCCCGGTCGCCGCAAGTTCCCTGATCTTCCAGACCGCTGCACAGTGGATTGAGTAAATGAGACAGGTCGGACATGACATTTTTTACTAAAACTGCAAAATTTTAGTGTTTATTTCGTCATATTTTAAATTTCAAGGGGTGCTTAGTGAGGGAAATCTCACGAGGAAACCAATGACACCACTGCTGGGACCTTTAAGATTTGTAAAATCGGAGTTAAAAACGTTTCAAGTTTCCAATTTGTCCAACCTCTCCTATTGACTCGATCCACTGTGCGCCGGCAATCTTGAGTAATGTAAAAATTTCAGCTATTTCCCGCACTGTGAATATCTTTCGAGATCTTAATTTTTTTTTTTTTTTACTACTTCAAATACCACATAAGTGGTAATCCTTACGCTTCCAGTTAGAGCCCCTCCCTCCTCCGTCCCTACCATGTACCAGCCCAAGGCAACCGTTGTTTTGAGACCATCAAACTCGGGTCGCCTAGCCGGAAATCGAACCCGGGACCTCCTGATTGTAGAGCCAGCGCTGCAACCACTACACCACAGGAGGCCACCAAATGGAAACTTCGAAGAAAATGAGGAACTTGAAAAGTACGTTCTGAAATATTTCTTTTAATTTCAGCCTGTGGGGAGTGTGGGGCTCACCTGTAGCCTTCCATCGAGACTGCGAGGTATGGTGACGCATTTGCTGGGTTGCCCGGGACAACTGAGCGCTCTTTCGAGCTCCTCGATGGCACCCTTGTTTTTCTTGAGCTTCTTGACAAGTGCGTCGATTGCTTTTTCTGCATATTTCTCCTCCTCGTCTCCCTGCTTCCAGCCGAGTAGCTTCTTCACCGCGGGACTTGTGAACGAGAAAAGACTGTTGAAAGTCGAAGAAAGGGACCTCTCCCCGCCTCCGCCGCCCGAACTCCCGTTTGTGTCCTCTTCGTCCATTTTGCACAGAACTGGAAAACAAATTTTTTAAAAAAAAATCAACTCCAGTTTTAGGAAAAATTTGCAACACCAAAATGAAACATTTTCCAAGGAATTATAATTAGTAGCGCGCAGAACTGGAAAAAAAAATTAAAAAAAAAATCAACTCCAGTTTTAGGAAAAATTTGCAACACCAAAATGAAACATTGTCCAAGGAATTATAATTAGTAGCATCAAGGAAAAATCACGTCATGAAATGGTTAACTTTTCTACGTAGCGTTTGAGTCTCCAAGTTTTCTTGTGTATTTCCCGACTCATTGATGTGTTGGAAAAGGAAATATGTTTTACACCATGGCAGGATGGTGTGAAACTTGAGGACTAGCACGTATGTTTGCACGATTCTTCGAAATATGACTTCTGTTATTCTCCAACAGCGTGCTCCACTTTCGCACATGAAACGCCCTCAGAGAGTGTCAAAGGCAAATAGTCAAATCAGGCGTTTTGTCAAATGGTTAGGCAAGTAGTCAGATACTCTTACTTACATTGAAATTTTGATTTTTACCCTAATTTTAGACAAAATAATTCGTTGCTCCTGTAAGAAAGAATTCTCTGTAAATATATGCAGATCGATCAGTCGATCGATGCAGTACCAATCATTTAATTAAAAATCCAAGAAAGGGGGGAAATCCAGAAATCCTTAAACCATAAATAAAAATTATAACTTTTGTATCTAAATTTAAAGAACTAAATTTAAATTGATTAACATAAAAAATGTTATACTTAATCAAAACGTTAATCAATCAACAAAGCATAGCTGCGATCTACGATTTCAAGATCCTGAACGCACATTTATCATGAAATTTTCAGCAAGTCATAAAACATTTTTTTAAAAGTTTAACATTTAAATGCACTAAGGGCATGTAAACAGGAAGGGACACTAGGGACAGGGAGAGTTCGCGGATTTGAAGAGTTCTTCTTCCCTAAATATTGAAAACCCTTGAACTCCTCGCCATAAATTTACAGAATTCCGTAATTCAAAATTTGACTACCGGTCTAGGCATTTGACTAATTGCCTTCGACATATATGTATAATTAGCTTAAATCAGCACGCGCAACATATTCGTAATTGCTGCAGACGCAGATGAAGACGAATTGAAAACAACCAATGATACCTCCCGCGGAGAGGGAGGAGGATTCTTCGCACGAAATGCCTGAAAGAAGATTAGAATCCGTCATAAAAAGACCATAGAACACAACTCTATTAGTAAAAATATTAATTAAAATGATTTCCAATGTGCACTATACGGTTGTTTTCAATTCGCCTTCATCTGCGTCCGCAGCAATTGTTGTTACGAATATGTTGTGCGTGCTGATTTCAGCTCATTACATACTTGACTCTCTGAAGGCGTTTTATGTGCGATGGTAGAGCACCCTATCGGAGAATAACAGAAGTGAGATTGAATGAATCGCTCAATCCCTGCTTCGTTCGTTCTCCAACAGATTGCGCTATTTGTGCACATAAAACGCCTTCAGAGAGTCGAGTATGTAATGAACTAAAATCAGCACGCACGACATATTCGTAACAACAATTGCCGCAGACGCACCTGAAGGCGAACTGCTTTCACATATCAAACGTCTTCAGAAAGTCAAATATGTGATGAGCTTAAATCAGTGCGCACACCACATTCGTAGCAACAATTGCTGCAGACGCCGAAGAAGGCGAATTGTTCAGTTGAAAAAAAGTATGACAGGAAGTCTACATGCAACGAGGGGGTATGTATTCGATCGACATGAATCGAACGAAAAATAAAAACGCGAACCGATCGACACCGATTCGATGGACATTTAAATGAAAACCCGGATCAGAATCAGAGGAAATCTTGCATTTACTATGAAAAATTCAAATTCCTATATTTCGGAACTAGGATCAGCCGAGATTTTGATTTTCCGCGATTTTAAGTCTGCTTGTATCATTTTACTCCCTGCAGATCATCTTACGGTACATTTATGTCACATTTTTTGTTTGCTTCAAGACCACTGTGCCTAATTCCTAATAGAGCTCAAGCACGTGTCAGACACTTGCAATTTATATCTTTTCAGAATGAGAAATTTCGCGGAAAAACTCGATGATGCCCCACTGGTTTCCACTTTTTTGAGTCGAGCTAGCCTTCTTTTAGTGTATTTTCCGAAGGAATCAACTACACTATCGCGTTTTTTTTTCGAAACATGTGCGGTTAATTCATTTCTACATACTTCAATCCGACAGAAAAATATTCATTCATAAAAGGGCCTAAGGCGCTTAAGCTGGTGTGCTCTGAAAGACATGACATGGATGTAGGTAAGGGATACCAATGCTTCCACAATCCACATGCTTGTTACTCGGACTCAAACTCCGTTAAGAATGAACGGTTCAATTAATAAAGGCGGGAATTGGGTTTCTTCGGAGGTGGCAACCTACTATTTGTCAATTTCGTGCCTTCCCATTATCCCCTTAATTGGGGCTTTTCACGCCCATTGGCCTCTTTAACACGGCCGTAGAACCGCAGATTTCCGAAGTTTTTCCATGGGAATTACGCGTTTTCGAGAACCTAATGGGACAGCGTTTTTGTCTTTTTCGATGGGTCTAATTTAATTGTAGGTCGGTGGTTCAGAGGTTGGTACCGTTTTCACTGATTGTAAACGCCACACAGGATTGTTTCTGCCGCCTTCGGGAACGAGAAGAAGAGTCTTGTACGAACATTTCAACATTGCCGGATTTTCTTTTACTTTTTGCATTAATTAATTTTAGATAATTTTATTGTAACATTTTCTTTATTATTTACTTTTTCCACTTCCTTGTTGATAGATCGGCAAAAAATAGAGCATATCTCAGATCTTACTATGTATTCGGGCGTTTTTCGGTGCGGAAATCGCAAATTTAGCCGAGAAAACCTGACAAGTTAACTTCGGTTTTGAAATTTTAATGACTTTCCTAATTTTTTTTTCCTCAAGAAAACGCTTTAAACAAAAAATGTTCAGTGCGAAGTGCTTGGAAATTACAAAATTCGAAAATTGAGAACTTTCAGATGATATCGGGTTCCGCAGCGAAATTCTCAGACTTTAACAAGTTCGGCAAAATTCCTCGACTTTCCCAAGTTTCCAATACATCTTCAAAAACTTTGCAGAGCCTCCTAACCATTGGAAACAGTTTGGGCTCGAAACTATTTGCACCTTGCGCACTGGAAAAAAAAAAAAAAAAAAAAAAAAAAAAAAAAAAAAAAAAAAAAAAAAAAAAANAAAAAAAAAAAAAAAAAAAACACATTGGATCAAGAACCAAGCCTCTTAATTTGAGCGGATTTCCTTTGGATTTAAGCTTAAATCTGATCGAATCAAGAGTCCTTATTCTTGTCAATGTTTTCAAGAGTCTGGACTCTAGATCCAATGTGTTTTTTTTTTCCAGTGCGACAAAAAATTCGAATGGAATAGTCCACGAGAGTGTCTTTTCTTCCGAAAATCGACAGCGCTGCCCGCCGCATCGCTGGTACCAACTGACTGCAAGATGAATTCATTTCGGAAATGCGAAGAGCCGATGCGGCGGG